GTGACTTTCTCGGCCTTCTGATCAGAGAGAACATTCTCACCGAGCCGGTTGCCAAATTTTACATTGCTGAGATGATCCTGTGTATCGAGGAGGCGCACTCATTACGTTGTATACACCGTGATATCAAACCAGACAATTTTCTCATCTCTGCGTCTGGGCATTTGAAGATATCGGACTTTGGCCTGGCTTTTGATGGCCACTGGTCGCACGATACCAATTATTATCATACGCAGCGATACAGTTTACTCCAAAAGTTCAACATAGCGGTAGAAGGGGACGCCATTGACCGTGCCGAAGGCTTACAAGGCTCAGTTAAGTGGGCTCAAAGCGTAGCCCAGGCGATGCAGAAACATGAACGCCATCCACCATACCCGACCCCTCCGCCAACACCTTTATCAGATGAGCCGCTCTTGAATTGGCGTAACCGGTGCGGCAATCGTAGCGCGGCGAGGTCTTGTGTAGGAACAAGCCAGTACATGGCCCCAGAAGTCATCCGCGAGGGTGACTACGATGCAAGATGCGATTAGTGGAGTGTCGGCGTCATTCTGTACGAGTGTTTATATGGCCACACTCCATTTCTGTCGGAAGAAGGGGGTCGTCAACAGACGAAGCGCAATATTGTCAATCATAAGCAGACATTTGCATTCCCGCCTCGACCCGTGATTTCGAGACGATGCATGGATCTTATTGTCAACTTAATCTGTAAGAAAGAGAATCGATTATCGTCAAGGCGGTATCGCTACCGGGACACAAACCCGGAGCCTATAGGTAGAAGTCGACATCGCCGTGGGCATCAAGACTGGACGGGAAGATCGGTATATCCCCACGATGGAGAGGATATCAAAGCACATAAGTGGTTCCGTGACATCCCCTGGGACCGTCTGCAGCATATCCCTCCACCGTTTATCCCACAGCTCTCGGGCTGCGAAGATACACACTACTTCGACGAAGAGGAGCCGATATCTGACTGGTCCGAGTCTCAACCTGAAGCAAGCACCGAGACCGAAGGCTTAACTCTAAACCCCTTGATCACATGCAACACTATTAATGGGTTTCCTACTACTCCACCCCCTCGCCTGGTACCCTATAGAAGTCCGGAAAAAGTAGACGCCATGCAAGCACAGCTAGCTACATTCCCGCGCCACGTCCGTGGTGTCATAGGGCAATTCGTATCGGTGCCATACGACTCTGCCAAGCTCAAACGCATAGATCGCGAGATCGAAGTCATGGTTCCCGATACGGAACTCTGCGACGAAATGAAGGTATTCATACGGACGTTTGGGCGCCGCGAGCGGAAACGGCCCCGTGATAGATTGCTAAGGGATAGAAATACAAAGGGCCCTGTGCTTGATGTGCGCAAGCAGACTGCTTTCATGGGTTACACCTACCGCCGCATGGGAGAGCATAATCCCTCGGGAATCGTTGACCGGGGTTTTGGTACTGGGGAGGACGGTAGGGGGAAGAGCAAGGGACAGCCGAGTAACGGCGCCGAGCTGGCTTCTTATCGGGCTTGGTGTCAGGGGCGAGCGGGCTGATGAACATCTAGGAGGTAGGCAGGTATCTACCTGCTACGTCGCTGTTGCGTGGGGGGCACATACTCGTTAGTGTGTGGTGTATGGGGACAGTGACAACGACGATGGAATTTGCAGGAGAAGAAAAGAGAAGGGAGGAATAAAGAGGGAAAATGGAGATGGGAAATAAGTAACTGGTGTAGTCCAGTTACGCGAGTCGGAAACGAATAGTGTCAGGATAGTATCCCTACGCGCAACCTGTGTAGCTCTTCATGGTATCATCATCATCATCATCATCCCTACCTAGGAATAGTCAGTCCTTAACCTAGGTATATTTTCTTTTCCTCTAACACGACATTCGTTTATTCATTGATTCATTGTCTACTCTTTTCTTCCCATTCCTGACTTTGATATAGGTATTTATATACAAATTAAAATTAATTATGTATTGTTCATTCATCTTCATCTTTTTCCTCATCTTCCGATCAACATAAGGTACAAGGTATAAGGTATATAAGGCATCCCATCTAATCCAAGCTCATACTTTTTTAATTTCCAAGGTGAAGTCGTAAAATAACCAATCAGTTAATAAACCAACCCCCTACCCTCCCCCCCTTCCCTAACTCACCAACCCTTCTCATTCCCACCAGTCCCCGCACTCGTACCTCTATTATCATCCTCATCATCAAGCTGCTGCTGCGCGAGCCCATGGGCGCCGCTAGCCGTAGCCTTAGCATTCATAATCTCCCACTCGAACTCGGCAAGCGAGCGTATCTCGGCGCCGAAGAACAGCAATGCCATAAGTCCGTCGACGGCACCGGCTAGGAACCCGACGCTGCTTAGGATTAGGAAGGCAAAGGCTATGCCGGGGTGGATGTTCCCGACGAACCATACGGCGACGTAGCAGGCTATTACGATGAACGTCCAGATGGAGAAGTGGACCATGCGCCAGCGGCGCTGGGCGCGCTCGCGGGAGGAGTATGTCCGGATAAGAGCGAGGACTTCGTCGTACGTGGTACATGGGAGGCCATCGCCGCGGCGAGCGGCGGAGGATGGGGAGGCGGGGGAAGCGCGGAGTTGGTCGTCGAAGGAGGCGCGGAGGTCGAGGCGGGAGCCGACGCGGTACTCGGAGCCGGTGGGGGATTGGAGATAAGTGCCGTGTTCGAGGGCGAGAAGGGATGCGGCGTGGTCGTGGCTGTTGGGTCGATCGGAGGACGATGAGGATGGACGGAGGAGTTGTGTTTGCTGAGGTGATTTCTTGGGAGAGGGAGGGCGAGAAGCGGAGTGAGGGGGGATGAGGTTGGGAGAGGAGGATGTGTGGAGGAGGAGAGTGGCTTCGACGGAGAAGTGGTCGCTAAGAGAGCACCCTAGATCGGGGTGGCGCGCTAGCATGCCGACGCGGACGTCTTTGACAACCCAACCTTTAGTACGGCTGCCTTCGCTTGTGTCGTGGCTTGTTCGCGCTGCCGCCGCCGCCCCGGGGGTGGAGCCAGGGGTTACCGAGACTTGTGGAGAGAAGAAAATATAGTCCTATAGGAGAGTTAAGAATTGACGTTCTTGGATATCTAAAAATGGGATTTAAGATAGAAACAACTCCTTTACAGGCTCTGTTAAGAGAGCTCCTGTTTTATGAGATAAATTTAATGGGAGATGAGACTAAACATTACATACAATACGCTTGCCGCGCGGATCAGGTGTATCCGGCGGAATGATTATCGGCCGTTTCCCTGAGTGCAGGGCACGTTGTTCGGACTTGGTCCACCTCCACGTGTTATAAGCGCTGTTACTCGTAACACCGTTCTCGACGATGTTATACTGAGCAGAAGGTATCGGTCTCCGACGCGCGCGTTCCAGCTCGTGAACAGCCGAGCCAAGAGACGAGTTTGGGTTCAGCACCCGCCAGGCGTCTTTAATGGGAGCATGCGCCGTTAGCATGCGGTACGATAAGGACAGCGGGACATCATTGAAATCGCCTAATGCAAGGGCCAAGTGTCCGCGCTCGGCGGCGCCACGGACAAGCTTGGCCATCTCCCAGGACTGGGCTAGTCGATGGACTAGATAGCTGTCCGTCTTATCAGGCGGGTGCTCGTATATAGCATGAGTATGCGTATTGAAAACCTCGACGACATCGCGATCGCTAGGGCCGTACCGGATACGAGCGCACGCGACCCCCTTACCAACAAACCAGTCACCGCGGAAGAAGGCCGTAGGCCGGCCGTTCAGCGGATACCGAAACATAGTACTCTCTTCGATAGGCCATCTCGACAGGATAGCCAGACCACCACCAAAAACACCGCTGTAGTAGAACTTGCCGAAGGGCAGAACGAAGCGTGTCTCACGCCGGATGTTGCGGTAGTCTTCTTGGGTCCAGCATTCTTGCAAAGCGACGATGTGAGGCGGAGGATCCGCGGAGGCGAGCTCGCGGCCGATGGCGGTTAGACGCTCGGCGCGGTGCTTACTCAGGTGTAAGAGGCCCCAGCAGTTGAGGGTGATGACATTGAGCTCGGTAGGGAGGTCCTCCATGTTGAAACTCGGCGGTTTGGTTTCTCTCCCCTATGCAATAGTATCTGGTTGTTTCCGCCCGGATGGATACTTGGTGTTCAGACCACCATGGGGAAAGAAAACGGAGGGTGGGTAGTTCTGTCTATATGAATAGCTAGCTGCTCGGGATTTTCTTCTTCTTTTCTCTTCCTCTTTGCGGCGTTATAACTGCCACGTTTTTTGCCCCCGTCGTGCAGTTATGAGTTATGTAGGAGCTGCAGCGTGCTTGGACTAGGATTAAATGATCCTTTGGGTCAAGGCTATCATCCTAAAGATGTTTACTACATGAATATATATGCATGTAGTAATTGCCTTTGAAGCGAGATGCACCTTAGGCTATGGAGGAGTAATAAGTTGTTCGCTCTGCAGAGCTAGGTCGAGACAATGAACAATAGAGAGAAGGATTATGTTGCGATACGACTCAAATCATTTGAAATTAGACACAAGCTACAAAAACCGCATGTTACTCCCGTGTTACTCGGACATACCTAACAGCGATACTAGGTTAGGATAGGTACCTACCTACTTAGTGTAGGTACTAGGGGGGTACTTACTGGGGATACATACTGGGGATACCATGGTGCCTTCCTGCAGGGATCCCAACAATAGCAGCAGAGCAGTTCGTTACTTCCTCATTAAAGCTCCATGCTGCCTGGCTGCATAGTGTAGAAATATGTATACTTTAGAGTTGCAGTCCCCCTGCATTAAACTCCATCCAGATCGGCAATCCATGCCGGGTTATTTCTCCTAAAGGGTAGGACTTGCCGAGAACGGTTGGTACAAATTGTCTCTTATACTATGTACATATGTAGTTGCCACCTGCACTGTACTACACTGTGTTCCCTATTGATGTAAGTGAGACGCGTGCTGGACGCGATAAAGATTAGCGGTTTTATAAAGTGGGACTGTGATAGGGCAATATAGTCCAATTAAAAACTAATGTGATAAGAAGACCCGCCAAAAAATAATAATTCCAATCAGCCTTGTCATGTCGCGTCGCCGTCACATCACATGTATGTATCGCTTTCACCTGCGCGAGGCTGTACATAATACCTTAGGTACCTATCTCCTATCTGATCTGCTGGCATTGCCCCTCCATTAAAATCTCGCTTCTCGATTGATATTATAATCCCGGCCAATGACCCCCCGGTAGTAGCTACGAGGCTCTTCTACAGCGAAGACATCATCATCATGTCTGGCGTTGTTGATCCCACTGCCACCGCCCCCGAGCCACCGACTAAGCGTCGCAAAGTCCACGATGACGATAGTATCGATTCGACCCCCATCCCACATTACGACACCCCAGAAGAGAAAGACGGCAAGCGCACTCTCAGCGTTTCCATCAGGGAAAAAACCGTAGACAGCCGCTCCCAGAGCCAAAGCCCCAGTCGAAGTCGAAGTCGGAGTCACGAACGTCGCCGCGAAACAGATTACTCCTCCGACGAACGTTCGCCGCGCCGCAGCAGATCCCTCTCCAGCTCTCGCTCCCGCATACGCTCGCGACACTCGAGTTCCGGCAGTCGATCATCAAGCCACTCCCGCTCCCGCTCGCGCTCCCGAACCCCAAGATCGCGCTCCCGCTCCCGCACCCGCACTCCCTCAGACTCTCGCTCCCCCCTCCGCACCACCCACAACCCTCCCTCTCCCACACCGCCCTCCCGCCAGCTCGCTAAACCGCACTACACCCCGCGGCTCGTCCTAGCCGGGCACGCGCGCGCGATATCGCAAGTCCGCATCTCGCCCGACGGGCAATGGATCGCCTCGTCGTCCGCCGACGGCACCGTGCGCATCTGGTCCGTGGCCACGGGCCAGCACGCCGAGACCCTGGTCGGCCACATGGCCGGCGTGTCGGCCGTCGCCTGGGCCCCCGACAGTAAGACCCTGGCCTCGGGGTCCGACGACAAGGCTATCCGCCTGTGGGACCGCGTCACGGGGCGCCCGGCCCGCGCCGGGAAGCCGTTGCTGGGCCATCATAGCTACGTGTATAGCTTGGCGTTCTCGCCCAAGGGGAATATCCTGGCGAGCGGGAGCTACGACGAGGCGGTTTTCCTCTGGGATGTGCGTGCTGGTCGGTTGATGAGGAGTCTGCCGGCCCATAGCGATCCTGTGAGTGGGATTGACTTTTGTAGGGATGGGACGCTGGTGGTTAGTTGTAGTACGGATGGGTTGACGTGAGTTTTTTTTATTTTTTTTTATCTTCAAATCCTACCCTTGCCTCCTTTTAAATACTCTTCAGGGCTGTATAAGCAGCTAACTATTGTTTTGCTACGATACAGCCGAATATGGGACACATCCACAGGCCAATGCCTCCGAACCCTCGTGCACGAGGACAACCCTCCCATAACATCAGTATGCTTCGCGCCCAACGGGCGGTACGTACTAGCCTTCAGCATGGACTCGTGCCTACGACTATGGGACTACGTCTCCGGCACCGTGAAGAAGACATACCAAGGCCACGAGAACTCCAAGTTCAGCATCGGCGGGTGCTTCGGTACCGTCCCCACCACCACCAAAGATATCGACGACGGAGAGGAAAGTGAGAGGACCGCAACGGCATTTGTAGCAGCCCCCAGCGAAGACGGCGATATCGTGCTCTGGGACGTCCGCACCAAGGAGATAGTGCAGCGCATCCGGCGCGCCCACGACGGCGTGTGCTTCTGGGTCGACGTCCACGGCGACACCATGGTTAGCGCGGGCCAGGACGGCAAGATCAAGGTATACAGACACCAGCAAGCAGGAGACGCGGGTGCGAAAAAAGCCAATAGCATATCCCCCGAGACGAAGGATACGAATGCGGATGCGGATGCGGATGTAGACGTGGATATGGGTGCTGAGAAAGACGGTGTTGGAGGAAGCGAATCCCCTCTAAAGGACGAAGATGTCAAGAAGGAAGAGTAAAACCAGCTAGGTTAGGCGAAAGAAGATAGGTAGGCAGGCAGGCATACGAACTTGGTTTTCGTGGTAGATACGTAGGCAGGTATAATTAGGACTAGGTACCAGGCGACAGCCGCAGGGTAATCGTATCGAATAACTTAGACGGCGCAGCATACTCATCCCATAATTCAAATACACATACACAAATACACAAATACTAAAACCTCGATTTATTTTTCATCGGAAAAGTACCTAAGGCTATTCGGGACACACATCATCACGAAACGACCCTCTTAAAGTATTAGGTAGGTCAAGTCGACTTAAACAAACTATCTATATAAATGCGTCCTCTCATCTATCCATACTTTCCGAGACGGTAGACAGTGAAGCCATGCAATATACTCGTAGCGATCGCGTTCGTAGCATAAAACTTGGTATTACATCATGATGGATCCATCGATTGCCGTATACTCCCTTCTTCCTATAGTATACCTACAACCTATGACGTCCGTCTTCGCGCCTCGCAGAAGAAATGCTAAGGGTTGGCCGCAACGCCGGCGGGTATCCTCACTTCTGCTGACATTCCTTACAAACGTGATTTGCGCGGGGGATTTCCCTTGACCTCGCGCTTATATAGTCTCCCACCCGCCACTATTAATGTCCGCCTCGAGCTTCCTGCTGATGAAGCTGGGGATGCCGTGGCTAAGCCACATGTTGCGCAGCATCGAATCGTAACGCTTCTGATTGAGGAAGAGCTGACGCCCGTGGCGTAACCCGATATCCACCTCGCCGTACTTGTCGATGTACGGCGCACTGCTGAAACTCCCTGACGTACGATGCAGGTAGAAGATGGCGCACTTGCGAATGTTGATGAACAGCCCAATATTGCCCTGGCACCTGATGGATAATATTAGTACACGTGGTATATCATGCCAAACAGTGAAAAGTGACTTACTTGAACAGCATATGTTGCTGTGCACCCCCAATCCTCATCACAGGCTTGTCCGGCCCTGGCTCTGAGTATTCCGTGGTACAACACACGGTCTGTCCGCAGAAGATATCACCGCACATCAGACAAACCATAGGATCGGTCAAATCTTTACCAGTCTTAGGGCATCTTCTCTTAGCCGACTCCTCGATAAGAGTATCGAAATTCTTGGGTAAGCCGACGAGTTCGAAGATGCCAGGATGGCTTAGCTGGGCGGATCTGGATAGAGTTTCTTCGACCCCCTGTTCGATAGCAAAGTGCGTGGCTCTGACGCGTCCGCGTATTTGGTGGCGAAGCCAACCGTCGACCATGGCTTGTGTGCGCGGGGGCCAACCAAACTGACTACCTAAGGGTGTCAAAGACGAACACATTTCATCAAAGGACGGCAATCGCAGCGCGGCTGTCAAACGTGAAAGCTCGTCCGCTTCTGGAGCTAGAGATATGTGGCTATTGAAGTCAACCCCAAGGTGAACATGGAGGAGAACTGCTACTTTTCTCAAGAACACTAGGGCGTATTTCTTAACAAAAGAATGGAGGCTTTCTAGGCTATCAAAACCTGGCTGATCGAACCCGAGATTGGGTAGATCCTCAGACGGTACCAGGAACTCGTCCCCGACCAGGATTTCGTGGCTGACGTTCATGCCAGCCATCGTGATATAGTGAAAGAAACTAGCGAAGTTGTTCATGGCGGGATCTTCTTTATTCCGGTGGTTCATATATTCAAGCCACCTGGAAAGTGTGAGATTCTGGGATACGTTATGGACAACCTTGACTATCTCAGCAAGATAGCAAAGCCGGACTAAATGCATGGGGTCCATGTTCTGTGCGACAGAGACGCCAAACATAGTCTCGCACAAGAAGACGAATACATCTTGACCTAGAAGCGGTGGGTGCTCATCGCACGGTGGTAAGGTATCCTTTGCGTCCGTGTTAAAGTAGGCTGATATGAAGAGTTGGAAAAATTGGCGCTCGCTGGCCTTGCAAAATTCTCGCTCAATGTCGTTGGCTCCCCCAAGTCTAAAGCCACCAATTGCTATATATGACGACACCGTCTCACACAGAATTCGAAGTTGAACTAGAAGCTGCTCCGGCATCCTTTCAATCAAGGTCATTCCATACTGGGCTTCGACGCCTCGTTGTTGTATCTCTGCCGCAGAAATCGAGTAACCCACAGACTGGGCCAATACGTCGCTGGCATATAACTCTTCCTCTCTACCCTCGTGTACGAAGGTCGCGGGCACAAGTTTGTTCTTACGAAGCGTATCGCGTAGTCGTCGATATATCAGCATCAGCTCCTTGTCGCCGTGTTGTGATTCTGGCGGCGAATGTGACCGTACACTTGACCCGGGCGTAGGCGCGAGGGAGAACGTGTCACTAGAAGCTACTGACGGTACGGTCCTAAAGTTACTAGGATCCCAGAAAGGCGATTGGTTGGCACTAGACTTCTCGAACAGACCCTCTGGCAATCTTGTACGCAAGTAGTTGATGAAGGCAGCTTGACTCTGATCTCGTGTTACTACCGCAGAGTAATGACGCCCTGTCATGAATGTAGATATGAAGGAAGAGAGGTCTGTATTGGGTTGCAATATCCCGGGGTAAGACTCTTCTTTTCCATCCCAGGTGATAGGCAAGAAGGCATTCCCAAGGGCTTTGCAGAGAGGACACACAAATTCTAGACGCTCTAGGGATTCGGGGTGGTGACGTGCTATCTGATGCCCGTGTCGACGGACGGTCGCTTCCATATACATATCGAAGCAGCTGAAATGCATTATGTGACCACATCCGACAGAGACTGGCCCTGACCGACAGAGCTTGGCTGGGAAACCTTTGCCAAGGCCTTGCCTTTCGTTGTGGAATACCCCTCCCTCTTTATTGACCTTTTCTACCATCTGCCTATTTTCATGGGCAAGGCCAAACGGACGGATTGCCTCGGCTGAGCGATCAAGGTTGACTGGTGTATTTGCGGCTTCTCTAACGAAGTCTGGGTCTTGAAGGTCAGTTTGTCGAAGGATTTTGCTCTTGGTAAAGAGCGCGAAAGTCCCGTATAGGCGTCCGTCGTCGGTATCTTCTTGGCATAATATGCAGGTACCTCTTGGATATTTCCAGAAGTTCTTCTGCTCTTCCATAGGTTTAGATTCATCCATATCATCCCATTCATCTTCACCCCAGTCAATATCTCCCTGTTTCTCCAGGAAGTTCTTTTGCTGTTGTTGGAATTGCGCCATAACTTTGGCTTGGCGGTCAAGTGCTGCCTTCTTCTTTCGTTCGCGCTCCTCTTCGGCACTGTGGGCATTTGCCGGCGACGCCGTATCGATCCGATCCGCAGGTATACCTAGTCGCGAGTAGGCCGTATCAAAGTGGCGCGGGTATTTCTGCTTCATTCTCCTTAGGATCAGCGCGACCTTGGCATGGCAAGCTTTGAATTCCTCCTTAGTCGACATCATGTCTAGAAGGGACACGATAGTCTTTGCAGCTGGAGCATCCTGCATGAAGTTACTGCGGGCAGACGTCGTCAGGGCGATATAGACGAAGGAGTCAGTGCCAACCGCGGAATCAGTTTCGTTTGCTTTATCCTCAGCAATAGCAATGAGAATCAAATGTAGCACAACCTGCAAGAATGTCTCTACTCTAGTAAACGGAACCTTGGGCGTTAATTTAGCGGCGACCAGAGGATATAACAAGCAGTAGTAGATGATCTGTGCGAACATCCCGGTGCTGGTAAATTCAGCCAACTTCACGAAAGCACCAGATTCGATCGGGCGTAGCTTTGGCTCGTAGACAATTTCTTCGGCGGGCTTCCCAGTCTTTTTAGAGATCCACTTGCGGTAGGCGGCCTCTGATTCCTCCCGCTGATTCTTATTGTAGTGGGCAATGTATGGGTCAATATCCTCGATGAAATGAGGCTTGAGTTCAAAAGTTCCCACGTCAGATACGCCTTCGGGGGACTTAAAGGTAGCCACCTCATCTAATACGCGCTGGAAGTCTTCTTGCTCGTGGAACTTCTCGGGTAGTTTACTTGATATCTCATTGAAGGATAAAGGCCGGAAGCATAGAACATGCGTGATATCCCTGCGCATCGCCATTAGATGCGTCTGCTGCTCATCTTTAACCGGGATGAGCGAGGTTCGGTCGCTTAGCAATACGATTAAAAAGTGAATCATATCTTCGACAACATCAAGATGTTGAGTCTCGTCCTGAGCGCTTGAAGTCTGTTCGAATAACCCTTTGATCCAGTTTTCCATACCAAAACGATCAACAATCGAGGCGAGAACCCGGCTCGGGTTACATACCACCATTGCGGTCTGGAGCAGGAAGATATCTCGCGCATGCGTGACATCCCTGTGTAGAATATTTTTATACGTCCCAGCTTGATGCCTCAAACTAATGCCATTGCGCACCCACATTCCAGCCTTAATCTGGGCAAGCCAAGTACAAACACGTAGAGGATAATCAAATGCGGCCATGAGATAGTCCTCGGGGGTATAATCTCGCCTGGGCATAGTTTTTCGGCCCATTGAGCGAGGCTTCATCTTGAGCTCTTGCGAGGTGAAGTTCAAAATTGACTTTAGTTCCTGCTGAGACATGTGCTTCCCACACTCGATCAACCATGATAGAGTGTAATGTAACGCGTGGTGGAAGCTAATTGATTGCTCTCCGACGATGAACCTGACCACTTCGAACTTGGCTGCCTCGCCGGCGAATTCGAAGTCGCACAACGTCTTGAATCGCACTTCCTCTTTAATCTCAGCCTGGGTAAATCTAGCACGCTCCGCTCCAACCGAGTTGATGATGACGCTCTTAGCTGTTGTTCGTATGGCCTTCTCGAGATATGGGAGATCTTGTTCGGGGAGGCTCCGGAAAGAACCTGATAGAAGCCTGCAAAGCCTGTTGATCTCTCGCGTCATCAACGAGGCGCCAATCCAACTATCAGTTTCGTACTCCACATGCTCGCCAACGGCTCGAATGTTCGGGCAAATACCCTGGTGAAGCTTCACTAGGTCGAGAAATTGCATTAGGTATCTTTCTTCGGTCCTCATGCGCTCCTGGACATGGGCCGAGCCGAGGAGGAATTTAAGATCGACGTAGAAGTGATACATCCGCCTGTTTGTCACAGAACCAGTGTCGAACCCAAGGACAGCACTCGACGAAACCTCCCAGGGATGACCGACTTGTCTAGTAGTCAAGAACGTGTATAGAATAGCCATGAGGGTGGTCAAAAAGTTGCCTCTTTCGACTACTTCAGCGGTAATAGAAGGCGTCGTTAGCATCTGTAACGATATGTTGATGATCGAGTGGTCAGGTTCGCGGTCTCCTATAAGATACAATTGCGCCAATGTTGTATATAACGCAGCGAATCGAAGGCCTAATACTCTCTTGAACTCGGGGATAGTGACAACCGTAGAGATATATAACGAACGTAAGTCGTTCCGGACTTTCTTCCACATTCTTAGGTCAAAGAGAATTAGCCAATCCAGACGGACTCGCTTGAAGACATCTTCAAATGGATGGACACTATCACGTTCCATATAAGCTGCCGGTGTCTCGACCCAGTACCTCCCAGGCTTTGGAGGTCCTGCTTTGCCGGCCTTAGAAAGACCGGGGGTTTTGGGAATCTCAAGATTGGCCTTTGCATATACGGTCGGGGCTATCAACGGCTCAGCGGTATCCGAGTCCGATGGTGTAAGGTCCCGGTCCCGGGTCGCGCGTCTCGGAACAGGAGGTGGCGGCGGAGGGGGTGGATAACCTGCCATCGTTGCTTCTTCCTCTTCGAGAGACGCCACGCTTGGACCGATCCAGTCGGGTACATTTACGTCGGCGCCGCCAGCGTCCGGTCGCGTATCCACCATCATCACATCCTCATCCTCATCCTCTTCTTCTTCTTCGTCGTTGTCTTCCTCTCCACTGGAGGGGGTCCGATTACCGCCGTCCATATCTTCATCGTCATCATCGTCATCATCATCGTCAGAATCAAGAAATTCTGCTAGAGTAGCCGTGTTACCCTGCTCAGTCAAGAATCTTGCTCGTTGTATAAAAATTGTAGCTGTATGGGCCTCGAGCGGGTCATATTCAAGCTTCTCCTCGTCCTCGAGGCCATCTTTACCAGGCATCGCATGCGTGCCAGGGCTCCCTTTCCGCCAGGGCTTCAGGAGCTCTTCACAGACAACCATTCGGAGGATATTCTGGTCGTTTCCCACTACGCACCCTGATATATCGTTTAACCAGTCAATCATAGTTCCACACATCTGCTCTCGGAACGTATCACGAGATGACCGAATAGTGACAGTTATCTTGATATGTTCAAGAATGGTGGCGCACTTAAGTAACCTCTCTATGCTCGTATCGTATTTCAGAATACTCCGGCCGATCGAGTCAGTCTCTAGTGCTCTGTTATATCCTTCTTTAAAAGTCGTACTACACGCCCGCGCGACTTGGTCTTGAACTTCATTTACAGTATGTTTCTCGTCATTCCAAAGTAGTAGTGCATACTCCCCAGGCGATTCGACATCCCCGCCACAGTAAGTCGAAGCTAGGCGGGACATCTTCTCATCTTTTTCGATGGATTCTCTCGTCTTAGGCTGTCGAAGTTGTTCGGGGGCGCAGGAGATGACATCGCAGATGAAATCAAGGACTCGGGAAACTGTCATACGGATATTGGAAGCAACATCTTCGGGCAATCCAGCAACCTCTTTGCCCTTCCCTTTCGACCGGTCTTCCTCGCGCTCACTATGAATTGTGCAAAACATAGGAGTTTTCCAAGCTTCGGGATCACCACAATCACAGCAGCCACTATTCCCTGGCGATATTGATATCCGTACCATATGGCCCGTGTGATCTGTGGCGTTGAAACATTTGCTGCACAAGCAACATGTCTCGTCGGTACTGCAAGTCTTGCAAGCATATGACGCTTCCCCGGCTCGAAATATGTGTCCACATGCCTTGCCGCGGGCGGCCTCGGTGTATTCGGCTCCCTCTACGGCTCCCTGGGCTTCTCGGAGCTTCAAGGTGCTCTTTGGTGTGAGTTTACCATCGGGGAAAAATAGTCGCAGGTTTTCGGGTCTCCCCCCAGCCATAGACCAGAAGAGATTGTATAAGAGATCTCGACAGGCGGCTTCCTCGTATCGGTAGCCATAACGTCGCGGTAGCTCTATTAGATGTTGACAGAGCTGGAGCTCTTGGGTAGACATAGCGGTGTCCATAGCTAGACTCGGCGAACTATCATTTCTGGGATGGAGAAAAGTAGGAGATGAATGGCAGCCAGGGTGGGAGAATTTGTAGATAGATTTCGAACAAGTAGAACCGAGGTCGATGGTGGATGAGTTGGTGGCGGTACGTGTGGAGAGTCAATGTCTTCGAGAATATGGGTGCTGTATTTAATAGGTGACGGCGTAAAGGTGGTGTATATATTAAACTAATGTACCTAGATAACTTAACGTAGAAATAGGTATAATCCACCTGGACAAACAAAGAAACACGCGTCCCACTATGAACAATTGAGAAAGGTACCTAGGTAGGTAGGTAGGTAAGTACGGGGGGGATAAGTGAAACGGGTGAAATCGAGATTTGATGATTAGAATTGAAGCTCCAGACAAGAAAACGCAATTCCATTCCCCCTCCTACGTAAGTACCTAGGTTAGCTATTTGAGACTAAAATCCGGTATCAGTGGTAAGATTGCTACCGCAGTTACCGTCAAGTCATCACCTATTGTGACTCGTTCAGTTTTAGCGTCTTTCTTAGGTAATACGGTTTGCTAGGTACCTACTAATGCATGATACCTAAATACATATACGCCATATTACTCATATCACCGTCAGTATCATGACCAAATGAAACGGTTACACCTCATCTAACAAATTGCGTTTGCCCATACTTATGACAAATGCGATTATGTTAAGTTCCACAATTTCAGAATAGTGTAGGAATATATGCCCTTTCCCTTTATTTACAATGATTGATTGCATATACCTAGGTTAAGAGGTTATAGTCGAGCAGGACAGTGTTTAAGAAATTAGCCAACATTTACACCCTAGCAAATCGAATTGGTTTAATCAGTCTGACTATTTGTCGCGGATGCCTTAATTGGAATTTTCCAATATACGTTTGGGCAAGCATTCACACGAGCATCGTGTAGTCGCTGATTGCGGGAAGAGGTCGGTAGAGATATAGCGTTTGTGCGAACTGTGCTATAAAGAATTGTTCCGGTCTATAAGGTACAACTGTACAGTTTTTGAGACACTCGATCGTCCCCGGAAGTTTCCATGTCCCATCTCGACATCTCAAGCGTTCTCTAACCTCAGGAGTTGGCGGTGGTCGCTTATTCATCCTGGACATATCGGGATCGGATATCCTTCCATTGTCGCTTTCGCATTGTTAGTCGCGGCATTCTCTTCGGAATATCGTTAGACAGCACATACCCCTCGGTTCAACTTATCCCAGACCTTGTTCATGCTGGTATCATATAACCTGATATCCCGTTAGCAGCCACGCCCTATTCCCGTATTCCCGTAGAGGACCACATACATCTCGAAGGCGAAAGCAGAGGTAAATACAACACCCAGCATCTGCCAGTTAGATCGGAAAAAGGCGCTGCGCGGAGAATGGTTAGCTTATCGAAGCTCATGATTATAGGTAGGGTCGACTTGCTTGTAGAAAGAGCGTACGGCGGCCTATTGCGCGATTAGTTAGTTACAGCACATCGACAGTGACCGAATAGGGATAACCATACCATGGCGAATACCGTCTGAAGAGGTATATATCAAGGATATAAGAGTGCGACCTTCGAGCAGAATAAGGGAGGCTGTTGGTGTTGCTGAATGACAGACGTTGTGAGGTCAAATATGTAGATAAGTTCCAACTTCGCAGGTTCCAGCCGAAGAAAGAATTGGTGATTTAGAAATGGCTGCTTCTGATTGGTTGAAGCTTAGAGAATCGGCGGCCCACTCTTTTTCTCCGAGATATGGTGGGCTGTTCTTCCATTTGAGCCCCTCAGGCTTCACTCCCGCTAATAGGCTCACATTACTATTACTATATTTTTTGCTTGCTTGCTTCGCTTCATACTTTACAACATCTTACAACCCCCGCCCAGAAAGCCCATTTCAAGTACACATCGACCTAATAATACCTTCCCCCATGCCTTCCGAACCGTCGACTGCGGGCATCGTCACAGACGAGAACAGCGGCGAGCGCCACATCCCAGAATCCGTGCGCGCGGACGGCACCACGAGGAAAGCGATTAAGATCCGCCCCGGGTACAGGCCACCAGAGGACGTCGAGCTCTACAAGAACCGCACCGCCGAGTCGTTCCGCAACCGGGGCAAAGGCGGCGTCATCGGAGCAGAAGGATTAAAAGAGCAAAAGCAGGAAGCAGCCGCTGCGTCCGCCGCCAGCAACAAAAACGCCAAGCGCCGAGAAGCGAGGAAGAAGGCAAAGCAGTCGCAAGATCCCGCCGAAGCGGAAGCGGCCAATAGCAATGCTTCCGCAGACGCGAACGCGAACGTGAACGCCGCCAAGGCCGAGGAAGTCGCCGATCCGGAAGCCGAGAGGGAGAAGAAGGCCCGGAATCTAAAGAAGAAGCTGAAGCAAGCGAAGGACCTGAAGAGCAAGAAGGAAGGCGGCGAGTCTCTTCTGCCAGAGCAGATAGCCAAGGTCATCAAGATTAATGAGCTTGTGAGAGAGCTTGAAGCGCTCGGTTTCGATGCCGATGGTGAACCCAAGACAAACGCGGATGCGGCACCAGAGACAGCAAAGGAGGGTTGATCGCACAAATAATGATACGACTAGTATTCGATCCGACGGTTTAAGCAGAATGTTGCTGTAAATACCCTTCGCTGGACATCGCGGCGATAGCGATGATGGCACTATGATATCGGCTATTAAAGTCATGATATACGCCCAAGTGAGGACGGACCAGTTGGTTCAGCACGATGTCTATTGGTCTGGATACCAGCATCACCAGCCACAGCGTTAAACGGCTACGACGTCTAGCTACTATCACGAGGACCATCGGCCCAGAGTATTAGACCCAAGCATCCTCCATGATGGACCCTCGAGGGATATCCAGCATGCCCAACGCTAGCGCTGCATTGTGATGGGCTATGGTCCAGAGCTTTTGCCCTTCGGCGGCGAAGAAATCCGGCTACACTAATGTGTCAGTCAAGCGATTCTGGGCTTTCATGCATAGCGGGTAGTTATTGAATATGAACTTTTTACGTGGATGCATTATTTCGTCTGCTATGTATGAGACTTTTATTCCTAGGAGATTTGTGAATCAGAATTATCCAACAACTTTACATAAGTCTGGAATATGGCTCCGTAAATTTTAAGGCGCGTTCATATTTAAATTCGAAAGCATGGTCATTCCTTCGATGCATCTGAGGGATTGCAAAATAAGCTGTGATTTAGAAGCACAAATCACTTAATAAATCAAAAAAGACAAATCGCCCGTGGGATATATTTTCATTTTTAACAACTTATCCTATATAAGCCCAAATAAAAAAACGCCAAACACACTATATATAGCCTGGGCATGTATAAGCAGATGCGGAACACCTATATATAAATCAAAACAAACCACCTCGCCATGCAACTTTTAAGACGTCCAAAATCTCGTCAAAGACGTAAATAATCATAAATACCTCAGTACTCTCCCCTACCGTTAACATACCCGGCTATCTCCCTCTTCTGCCCCAGCCTCCGAGACTGCAGGCCCACGAATCCCACGAGACACACGCCGATGACCAAGCCGAGCGCGAGCAACAGCAGGTTAACAGGGGCGGGGTCGCCGCGGAAGGTGCGGTGGAAGAGATAGTCTAGGGCGCTCTGGCTGAAGTTGAGCAGGCCGGAGAGGCATATCATAGTGCCGTATACGGTGCCGAAGGTGCGGAAGCCAAATACCTTGGCGCTGTAGTCGCTGACGGCCGTATAGTAGAACGGCCGGTACAGGACAAACAGAACTATATTGGCGTATGCGGCCCACGTGTACGGGAGCACCCCCAGGATTCCTATCGCCGTCGCGACCGTGACTAGTGTCGTGAGCACTGCGATGGTACTGGTACGGTCCAGGATGATTCCGATGAAGGGAATCGAGATGATGCCGCCCAGCGGTAGTGCCAAGTCGAAGAAGTTATTGATCTCGATAGCCTTTTCTGACGAGCCGAAAATAGCTTCGTACTGCGGCCGAATAGTGGCGACGAAGTAGTTGATCCGCGTCATCTGTACCACGGTGAACAAGCATATCAACACGAACCAAGGCGAGCAGATCTGCTCCCACGCCGTGTAATTATGCATCACGCCCCATACACCACTCCTCTCGTTCTTCTCCTCCTCACGGCGAGCTTGTTTATCCTTGTCTACCTTGTTGGAACCCAATAGTTCTTCGATATCATGCACAACATTTTCGTAGTGCTCTCTTTGTTCCTCTCGAATGAACGCAGTCTGTTCGTCTACTTGATCATCAGCATCCACAACGTCTAATGTGTCCGTCGGATCGGGAAATGCGGGAGCCTCGATCTCTTCGATCATTTCTCCCACAGTCTTGTACGACTGTTTGGGGAGTAATGTGAGCTGGAAAACCAGTATCACTGCCGGCACTATAAGGTAGCCGAGGAAGAGCCGGTGATACCCAAAAGCACCTTCTGTCTTGTTATAAATGATACGGTAAACGAGGAACAAGGCGCTCGATGCATCGAACGCCCCTGTAAGTAGTGCAAGGATCAGGCCCGAGTGTCGAGGGAAAGCGTTAGATAATTGGAAGGAAGATATAAACGTAAACGGTCCGCCCAAGGCAAGGAATACGTAGCCGAATCGGAATGCGTCGAAAGGCAAGCTTTTCGCAAAGGACATGAAAAGCGCGCCTACGCTAAGGAATAGAGCACCTAAGATACCACAGACTCGAGGACCATAGTGGTCCAGAATAGCACCGACGGGCAGAGCAGCAACGTTGGTGACGACGGCCGCTGCGGTGAACATAAGATTCAGATGGATTTCCACACATGTGTCTTCGCCATGGCATATATCTTGATATGCACCCTCTTCTTTCAAAACCGGTTTCAAAGCGGCGTATCCAAACACAACCCCGGCTGCAAAGAGGCAGAACACGACCATAATAACAACTTGAACTAAACGCCAAGCTCATATATTAGCTTCCCTAACTAAACACCCATCGTCACGAATATCCAGAAGAACCACTTACGTATTCGTTTCCATCGAGGCACCTCAAAGGCGCCCCGAGACTGGCCAAGGTGAAGGTGGCCCTCATCTTCATCCTCGAAGACGGGGTCCCACGACTCAGGCAGCGGGTTAAACGTGAGTTTGCGCGCCCTCTCCGAAGCAGCAGCAGACGACGCCGAACCCCGCCGCGACCTGAGCCCCTCGGGAGGAACAATGACGAACGTCTCGAGGGATCCAACACGTTGCAGAGACATGGCTAGCGTTCAATTATTATCAAAAAAAAAAATTTTTAAATAAAATGAATAGCAGCCTACCAACATAAAAATTGGCCAGTGCAACTGTGGGATAGAAAAAAAAGATAGGAAAACTCGAGAAGAAAGGAAAAGTTAGGATACTTATCCCATGACGATCGACGTTGAATCGAATCCAGCAGCAGTAAACCTTAAAGGAGCATAAAGCTAAACGCAGAACAGAACAGAACGAACCAAACCAAGCCGAACCAAACCCCAGCTTGGCCTATCAGAGCTACCTAGGAGCTTAGCGCACGAGTCTAAACAGGTGGGGCGGGTCAGAAGGTCATTCGCCAATGCCGGAGCTTTCGATCGCCAGAGCCGTTGGAGCAGCAGCAAAAAAAAGTGAGAGTTGACGTTATGTGCCAAGCTGCGGCGGGGAACACCTCCGTAGCGAAACAAGCGAGCAACCTCCGCCAATGATAGCGACCATGAGCCGCAATATGCAATTTCGTGGTCGGATGAGTTTATATACACTATACACAGGTATACACTATACAGACCTTAAGCGACGTCGGGTGCGGCGCTGATCCGACTTACACACATGTAACCTACATACAAGACGACATGTCGCAACATAGTAATCCGGCAACATGTAAATACTAATAAACAACAGCTATCGAACTTTTACAATCACGCACTGCTATGACGCAATATATTTACAGGGGTGCATTTACGACATGCAAGTGAGAAGTTCGCTTAGGTACACCGTTGACACCTCAAATTGACCGCCGAAAGTAACCTACAATGTACCTACATAGGTAGTTATTGATTAATCGGACATAAAATATTTCTTCGACTACGTAGAAAAGTCCAGTCTCGTTGCCTTTTATTAGTTTCATTATGTAAGACTATATTATCTTACATTATAAATTCATATCTACCCAGGTAATCAGCCTTATGAGGTATAAGCTACTGAGATGTGGATCTGGAAGCTACCTGTAAAGAGCCTAGGTTAGTTGATGGTAATAGGTAGTATAAAATTATCTATCCTGCATTCGATCTTCTACCTTGAAAAGGAATCGTCCATGTACTAATACTTGTGATGCTTCTATTGCCAGAGCATATCAGAAATATTGTCTCATAATAAATGCAGACTGCTTAATTACTAAGTTAGGTTACTTGATTAAGATACCAAACATAAACAGCACAGCACATATTAAATCTCACTTTCGAGAAGGTAATACGTATGTATGTGTATATGATAATTCTACAATACAAACTCAAATAACGAAAAGACAAGATATGTTAGGTAGTGTTAGTGTACTCAGATATTACAGAGATGCCGCGAGTTTTAAACAAATAGAATTGACTTGTTTTATGAAATTTTCATTCTCCGTGCCAAGCCCTGTCCTACTAACATGCCCACAGAGTATACTCCCAATATCCCTCTAACCACCTCTCCACCGACTCGTCTTCCGAGACTCCCATCCACTATAACTTACGGCCTGTGAAGTGTGCCCTTTTTTGTAAACTCTAAGTGAGGGAAACTAGTCAGAGGCTCTATACAGAATACATCGGGCGAGTAACATAGGGGACATATCCACTATCGCATCAAATCATCGACTCTGAAGCTGCCATCTCGAGATGTTGCGAAACGTCTCCTAGTTCCAACTCCCGCACGCAACAACCCATCCATCTGCGATCAAAAACGCAAATCAAGGTATGTCCGGCGTCACCTAGCCACAAAGCCTGAAATATACACAATAAAAATTAAATCTGTCACATCGCCCACATGACAAAACGCGCCTCTGATATTCTGTCGTACTGGGGCGAAATATAGCAAGTATCCATTAGAAAGCAATATAAAACCTAGACCAGTATGACAGAAAACAACCTCCAACTCGCACTCCTTTAGGCATCGGTAAACGTAACAACGGCCTTGCCACCGCTAGGGATGGTAGTCTATACCAGTTAGCAACGTATACAAAAAAGAATATAGATAGAGTTACTTACCGTGCATCCACTGCTGCCAATTGCGTATTCACCATCCTGGAAGTAGCAAGGAATGCTGACATCACCAGTAATGTTGATGTTCATCTTGGGCTTAGCGCTGCTAGTAGGCGTGTTCGGGAATAGAGAAATATAGGTGTTGCCATCGCTGGACTTGCCAACACCAAGAATGGTGGGAGCCCAGTTACCGCACTCGTCGTGGTCTTCAGCGCAGTCCCAAACACATCCGTCCTCGACTGAGACACCGGGCTGGTTGACGTAGTACTGCAGAGTAGTAGGCTTGTTGTCCCAGTAGTAGTAGTCGGTGGATTCAATATTGGCCAGCTGGCGGACGGCGCCAGGCTGTGCGTCTACGGGGATAACCATAGCCTCGATACCGGGGTAGTCGGTACGGCAGATGGCTACATTCTTCTGCATCTTGTTGTTGATGGTAATACCCGGGACCCCTGGTTCGCAAAGAGTCTTGACTTCGGGACGGCTAAGCTCGAGATAGCCATCGTTGTTGCAGTACAATCCACCCACGGATTGTTTAGTGCTTCCCTGAGCCTTGGGCCATTGAGACTTGACATATCCTTCGGGGCAAGCATAGGAGTAGAATCCAACCTTCTTGGCCATTCCCTTCACACCAGTCTCGATGAAGCTGATGGAGAAGTCACCAAACTTGTAGCTGGGTGTGTATTGAAGACCACTCCAGCCACCAAGGCCAAGCCAGTTAAGAGGAACAGCACCGTACTCCTCAGGGAAGTGGTCGCACTTGATCTTGCCATCGGGGAAGTCAGCATCGATACCAGTGGCGTACCCGGTGGAATCGGCGCTCGAAGAGGTCGCGACAGGGGCGGAAGAAGTTGTGGTAGGAGCGGCAGAAGACGAAGGGCTCGAAGTAACCTTCTGGATGAAGACTGCATCGCTCTTGGAGGACGAGCTGCTAGTAACAACAGGCGGGGGAGGGGGGGTGAAAGTAGGGGTAGTCTCGCCAACGACGACATAGAGGCCCTTGTCCAACCCATTCTTAGCCTCGTCGGCGCTCACTACCTTATCGTCAAGCACGTACTGGGTGACGGTAGCAGGAACATAGGTAGTTTCAACATCGCGCTTCTCGGCCGCGGCATTCTTCTTGTGGTGATGGTGGCCGTGGTGGTGGGGCTGGGCAGCCGCGCTGGCAGCAAAGGATGCCGCAACGGCAAGATTCAAAACAGCAGCCTTCATATTTGTTGAAGTTAAACCGGTGAATACTTCTTAATCCGTATTATCAAGTTTGATAGTCGTGGCTTGAAATTGCAATTCTAGATAGAATCATTGTCAGCGTAACTGCTAGTGGAGGGAATAGCAGCCGTATCCTATACTGTGTCCGAGGGGAGGGGAAGGAGAGCGCTTGTGGGATCAAAGGGAAGTTTCCGTGCAACGGTATTGTGTAAAGGTAGCAGGTTGTAATTCAAGCTGTGTACTCTATGACGAAGCGACGATGCATATCTGCGCATTGGCACTTACCGATTGAAGTGGTGAAATTGCGTACAAATTTTATCCGTTGCTGATCGAGATAATCGCTAAAGACAAGGAATGTCGAGTATTAGATTGTTAGATTGTTGGTTTGTTTGTATCGCGGGTGTATGTAACGAGCGTATGTGCGGTCCCAAAGGAATGTGGTAGAGAGTGGATTGACTCTCAGTTGGAAGACGGCGCGATAGAAAGGGAAACAATGAAGATTCACAAGAGATGGAGGGAGACGGGTGAAATTAATTGTTTGCAGGGAGATAGGAGGTTTAGGGGGACAACAGGTACACAAAGTCCCATGGCGGGTCCTTCCTCTGGGGTGGCCTAGATTCATCCAATGATATCGAGGCACTAGCCCGAACAGGAGATAAGTGGCAGTGTAACAGCATGAGAGAACAGCCAATACTTGACCGACAATGTCCACTTACATGTCCACTACTGCAAGGTACGGCGCACTATTTCGATTCCTGCTGAAATTACCATGATTTAGCCTGGTACTTACATGGCAAGTGCAGTAACGTGTGCAGGGGTTATTTAGGGCAAATTTGACGACGGATGTGCCACGCACCATTAGACTTTCCGGGCTGCTTTCACGTTTTTGCAGTACATATTGTACAAACAGCAAAGTACCTACGTGCCGCCTAGCCGCTCCACCATCTACAAAACCAAGTTTAAAAGCTGCTTGAGTGGCTATGCTCGGCATCATCCCATATGAAAATGCAGGTTCTCATTGCTAACAATGAATAATACGAACGTTCACAATGGAGAACATCATGCCTCATAGGTTAGCAAGTTACAGAAGAGTGGACAGCTTGATGACGACAGCCCTAGTGAAGGGAAAATGAAGGAAATAGACATTTGAGTTTCCGCGTATCCTTTTCATATTCCATTATCTTGTTTTAACTCTCCTTTTCACTATTAATGCTTACGCATACCTACATAGTAAGTTAATATAATGTTTTCTCTTATGGATAATCTCTTGTATCATACTTTGTTTGCGTCTTTTAACAATTGGTTGTTTTTCATCAAGTACCGCATCCCATAATAACAGAATGCCTCTTAACGTATCACTCCAGTTTACCCAGATGCTACGACAGCTTACACGGATGATTCAACACGTTCAACAAAAGCAACTAAAAGAACAAAAATGGCTTCTACAATTGCGGGTAAATAATATGAAAGAAGATGGGCTAACAGTTCGATCCAGATCTCCTTTGCACATACCACTTGTGGATAGGTTGCGTGTCTGTTCCTTTGCTTTTAATTGCTGCAATTTCGGGACTGCTGACCAGGGGCATCTTCTCTCTTACTGGCTGGAATTTCTCTGGTAGTCTAACAATTCCCCCCCTTCTTGATTCGACCCTTTGCAAAGATCGATACGATGGCTGATCTTCATTCCACGCAATAAGATTCCCTACTAGTACCGAATCTCATCCCGTCATTCGTTATTCCTTCGGGGCTTCCATCGATGAGAACGCTCTGCTTGGCTACTATTGTGGGCATTGCCATGTGGTTTCTCCATACAGTTTCAATGTGTAGTTATATCGAGATATGCTCATGAATGACGGACCAATAAGCCAATCCATTGGTATGCCATCTGGGGCTTTTGATTAGCGAATCTTCTTCATCCACGTATTAGGTACCTACCTATATACTAAAAATACTTCAATGCTCTCGACTCCCTTACCTTAAAGACTGAATCCAACTCGACTTGAAGATCAACTACCAAGAAACGAGGATACCCAACACTCGCTATAAGTAATAACTAAGACTCATTTATTTAACCCCGCCATCAAAAATACGCCCATGACGATATATCTCAACATACTATATATTTTAACTTAGTACCAACCTAGGTCTGGACCCTAGGTGTCTATTATCTCAAAGGGCGATCCAGGTATACACAAGCGTTTACATGTACTTCGTAGTCTAGGAAAGTATCCACGTCGGCCCTTGACTGGAGTAATATAGTAACGTTCCGCAGCTTACCACTACAGCCGCTATTGTAGACGGACGTTAGATATAATAGGGTCAACAATGATACCCGCATGAGTCATGTGTCCCTACCTACCTATTTCATGCAGATTTCCGCCATGAACCTATTTTAATGCGGATACCCATAAGGTGAACTCGTCTTCTCTGATCCTCGGGCACGCGAAGCTCTTTGGACAATATAATATATAATGGTCGGCACTATACTTCGGGTGATGACATGACAATCGTCTAGTCAGCTATTTTTAGGAACTTGGACAATGTCCCTTACGCTCCAGTGTATATTTTGTGTTAGTTATAAGTAGCATGGTTCTAGGATGACCAGCGTGTATAACATCATTAAACCGTTTTTAAACTTGAATCAAGTATGTGTGCCCAACCTAACAAAGAGTGGTTTCACTCGGCAATAAAAGCACACGAAGCATAGATAGTGGGGTAACTTGGAAATCTAAGACTTTCTTATTGAAGGTTTCATCAGCATGTGTACAGCAGGTTCTATAAGCAAAGTGAATGTCGCGAGGCTTATCGCGGACCAAGCAAACGACTTTAGCTCATATTATTATAAAGACCACTATGAAGTGTTATGATCTCTGTTAAGTAAAAAGTATTGGGATAGGTTACAAGTTCTCATCGATACTGATCTAGTCCCCCAATCTTGAGAGTCACAGTGAGATATCAGTTAAAGACCTGTGGTTTACTGGTCTCTGGGGACGAACAAAAAGCTCATTTTCTAGAATTATTGCCGTGCTGGCGCATACAATAAAAAAGGAGAGGAGGGGTGGTCTAGCCTAAGCTACTACTATAACTCTTGACGCTTGAGAGCACGTATTATGAAATATGAAAGTTCATTGAACCTAATGTCATGGTTAAGATATTTAGCAGCTGTGTCTGATAAGTTAGGATCGAGCGACACGCTAAATGTTGTAGTATGTTGTTTACACAGCTCTCAGAGTTGATACCGATTTTCCCTCGCCATGTAAGACAGCATACTTCTCATGTTGAATAGTAAAACCTACCGATCAATGCCTAATACATGCACTACTGGGTAGTTAGTACTGATGGGCATATTTTCCCCACGCCCATTAGTTTGCCTTGCTTAGACTTGTTGGTCGTCGAACAAGCTGTGAAGTAACCTCAAGATATACTAGAGTCATTATCCAGAATAGCTTAGAGCCTTGTAGACGCCTTAGCAGGGTCGGTTGCTATATGTTGATCTAGAATCCAGAGTTAACTAAGTTCAAAACATGAGAATCAGGTCGTTAGAATTACTAGTCTAGTTGAAAAATCGTTCCTTCCAAAGCCAATTTACTTGGCGCCTCTCATAACTACCCCTGGGTGGTTGATAACTTGACAAAACCGTAGGACTATACATTGCTGTGGTTTTATATGACTTAAAGATCCCCAATCCTACACACGGCATCTTGGAAGTTGATTCCCAGATTGGTTGTCATGTATACACTCATGACTTCAGCGAACAGCCCCACGACTACTATGATACCGGTGCTACGCGGTATTTTGATATTTTAACTATGAAGCGTGCTTTTGAACTCTTTAAGCTTACCAAAACGTTCCTAGTTCCGTATTATATAGGTGGCGAATCTAACTATTTGCGCACATTCAATGCCCGCCTCTTCAACGCGGATACGGCATATCCATATCGCGTCAGCAAGAAGAATGATGGTCGTGTATTTAACAATGTTGATAACGTAGAAGGAATCTTGAAATATGTCTTTGGTACATATAAGAAGGCACTGTATGATAACATCGACATCCGTTTTGCCGAGTTCGTAACTGTTAGCAACTTTAGTACTCGGGAGTTCCTTAGAAGAGGTAGGCCATATTAAGGGCTGCGTCAGTACGACTTTTCTACTCAGCGGATGGTGACTTGTAATACATCGACCGACTTGTTCGATCGGGCCTTTCCCAGGAGCGTAGTGGATTTGTTTGGCCTTGAAACCCCTAGAAAAGAGGTAAAAATCATTTCGTGTAGACGGATGCGTCTCTTCTCACTGACGCAGTATCCGGGGGCTTAAAAGTAAAGTATACCAGGATGAACAAGCGGGGTGACGCTACTAATGTTAACTGTTAACTTCGTGAAGAGGGCAGTATGTCGGTTAGCGGTACCGACGAGGAGAACCCCGGTCAAGGATACTGTACCGTGTTTAGTGTTTTATCGTTAGGCTACTTAAGGCGTGTTGATTTGCACGGATTTGAGCTGCAATTGTCTCAGAAGACCGTAACCTGTAGTCTATATTACGAAAATTCTGTCAAAGTAGCACCCAGGTTTAAGTGTCCTTAGTGGATCGTTGACTGCCGTATAAAGCAAGGGGTGTTGCCCCGACTGACTTGCCGTTGCGCACTTTTGTCTATCTGCCGTATAATCTAAACGATGTTGCCGATAGGCTGGTGATACTGTTGGTATCGTATATTTAGTTACAGAACGCGAGGCGTTTTGTATTATTAGTCGGCGAGGATAAGTTGGTCGAGCTGATATTGCGTGACTTGGTCTTAACATATTCACAGCACGAAACGTACGAGAACATCATGATATATTGTCTAAATAAGCGTACATCGCTCCTATTCATGGGCGTAAGACCCGGTCGCTACCGGCACCTTTGTACTCTTGGGCTCAGGACAGTTTAGCAACTTGTACCCCTACCTGGTCTGGGTGGTTGCTGATAGCAGGTTCTATATTGTTGTATTGTTGGCGCCCTCGACAGCGCCTATGCTGCTGTTTTCTAGTTCTGCTGTTTTCTAGTTCTGCTGTTTTCTAGTTAACCTACCCCTTGATCTATAGGACCATATCATCAAGTTGGAATAGTACTAGGGCAAAGTAACTGGGTAGCCGATCCAGAAACCGGGATGAACGGAATTGTACACTTACAAGTTGCATTAGGGAAGCTTCGCAAATACGACCAAGTAGAATATGTAGGTACCTATGAATCTCTGAAGCGATTAGTAATATCCCAGACTTTACGAGTATTACCGATGCGGAAATGTTTATACATGGGTTTGGACGGTGTTAAAGTGTGTAAATCGAAATTTGGAACAATAGCTTAGATTCTATACTTTACTCTGTCTACCTATGCAACTAGCATTTCCGAGTTATCAGATGACAATAGTAAAAAATTATGAACTCATTTTGTTATTTGTTTCGTATCTGGAACTGAGGGAAACTCGGGTTCACCGTGAGGCCGGATATAGGTGGGCCTCGGTGACCTGGCCGGGAAATACGGGGCATGCCGTTTTTTTGGCGGACAATTATTCGCCGACTCCGTCCACGTCGCTGCTTACCTGATACGTAAAATACATAAACGTGAGGTGTCAACATGTCTTGTACCACAGGTATGTACCTATATCTGTAGTGGGCAGTGACCGTTGTTGGGCTGGCACGTAGTAGATCGGACCTGGACGTTATCCGCTATTGAGGCTCAGTGGTACATCCTTGATGCAATTACGGAGCAAGGCTAAAAAGGCGTTCTTGAATTTTATGTCTACAATAGGTGCTACATCGCGAGATACTGCATCTCTGCTCTAGCCCGCCATCTCAGGACCTGTAGACTCGTCTTTTTTCTTTCTTCTTCTTTTCTTTTTCTTCAAGAGCTGATTCTTTGATGGCGGCCCAAACAAGTGGTTGGCTCCATTACCTATCACGAGCATTGATGATCCGTGGAGCTCCCGATTTGGATGGGACTAGTGGAGTAGTTGACCGCTTTTAGCGATTGAGGATAGACTTGGCGTCTGTGGGGTTACAATCTGGCTAGGCGATATGTAATAGGACTTATTAGATTGTTCGGTATGTATGTTATTGCAGGATATAGGTGATGGGGTTGCATACAATGACGAAGATTTGGTTGTTAGCTTGACACCAACAATATCTGACAGGTATGTTTCGCGGCTTGAAATATATGTAGACTGTAGCAAAGTTAAAGAGTCCAGTTGACGTTTCGATAGGAGTGCGATGAAGGTCTCGGATGTCCGATTTCTTGCGATGAGTATTTTCTAAATTTGGGAGTGTACGTAAAAGTAGACGTAGATAAATTTGGGAGTGGACCGAGGCTTGGAATTATTAGTCAAATAGTTAAGGCAATCTGGCTTAGAAGATAGAACATACAACATACGTATGGGGTGGGTCCGTGGGATAAAGAAACGGCAATCACATCATCTCAAGGTTTGAACTTGCCCATTTTATGTTGTATATGTACTACCCAGGTATCTACCTATATAATATGATATCGTATACCTTTATATACCTACCTACGTAGACATGAATATGTCGATAAAATGAGGTGATCAACTACCTATCTTCATAGTTGAAATGTTGCCAGCCCAATTTTCACGTCAAAAACAGATTGGTCAGATCTTTTTTAATTTGTAATGTAAGATCTGCCGCGGAGACACCTGGCGGTGATACTCTACTGTAGCATATGGTACCTATCTGCTACAATCTGCAAGCGCCGGTTGTACCTTTCTAATCTGGGATTGATGACGCTATTGGCTTAGATCAAATCAGCCACGGACCTGTTTGGAAGTAACCTGTCAGTTTTATTCACCAGCCCCGACCACATATACCTTGCTCGTGGTCTGGGAGTACATAATGAGTCAACTACCTATATATACCTCTCAAATAAATGACTTTGAACCTTCTCCTGACCCGTACCTGCCTAACTACATGTAACTTAACAAAAAGCGAACAACATTTCTCTGTAGGTCCTTATCACTGTCTCGAAGGTTTAGAGTTGTAAACATCAATGATTGACTGATCTTTGTCCTTGATAGATGTATGCTAAGTCTTTGTTCCACAATATGCCTCCTAGGTTATAAGATATTCAAGCCACATAAAATTTTACATCCAAGTACCTAGCCTGTAAGCTTAGGTATAGCTCATTTCTCAGCTAGGACAAAGAGTTTAGGTATCTGCATGTTCTTAAGCAAAGCGAATTACGTATCGACAAACTGGCTGCAGACGAAATACATAGGTACCTACGCACTCTGATGATGACTAGGTCGTACCGCCACACCCATACGATACTTATAGCACGTAGGTAGTACCTAACACATACGGTTAAGTGATAAGTTTCTATATACATGTACTGACCTACATATGGCATACTCGACATCTTGACATCTTGATACCTTGACACCTTGACATCATCAGAAATTGATGGGTAGTAATATTAACAATCTTCTTGGGTTTTCTTAGGTTTATTACCTATGTACCTATATAAGCTTACCAAAACGTTAGGTAGGTTGCTTTGGGTATGTACTTATCTGTTCTTGATGTTTGTACATGCAACTACCTTATGTACCTAGGTAGGTACTTAGTCTACATAACATGTATGTAGGTAGGTATTGAGAGCCTCTGCATACACTGTATCTAGTTGGGTAAGTCTCGTATTGTATTGTACCTAGCTTAATCCATCATTGTATGGAAGGACCTAAACAATACCTAGGTTACAGTGCGGAATGACCAAGCTAGACCGAACCAAAATAATTCCGACAAGCATCAGCGCCAATAAACTGGAACTTGCCGCCGCCTCCGCCTCCGCCTCTTTTCCCCTTCCCACTGCCACCTGCGCCTGCACCACCACAATTTGATGTTCCCCCCAAGCACTTTTTTTCCTGCTCATCCACAACCTACCATCTCGTCTTTGCGGCTCAGTCGTCCACTTACACTGTTGACCTGCCGAATCTCTACCCGCGCAATCCAGTGCAATTGTATTGTCCTTAACCAAATTCTATCGGCAAAATATACAAGACAGAGTATTTGATCCTTGGATTAACAAATTACTACTCATTTATAGTAAGAAGAAAAAAAGGGAACAATCCTAAAAAGATCAGCATTTGGACGCGCTTTGCCGCGATCATCAACAACACCATCAAATCGTAGCAGCAGCCACGTCCTCCAGCCACACATCTAGCCTTGCTATCTATCGAGCTTAACGATGCGTTGATGCGCCCGAGCTTCCTTCGCGTCTCTTCTACGTCGATACCGAGTCATTTTTCGTAGGGACCTTAATCGTGTTCTTGGTAATTCTTGTTTGGACCTATGGCGTCCGAGAAAGGTCCCGTCGCGACGGAAGCCCCGCCCTTCTCATCTAACACCTCCCAACCTACGATTCCCTCCGATCCTGTTTCTGTCGAGACCTTGACTGCTGAAGCTGCTCGTGCGACGCAGTCGCTTAAGAGACAGCGGGAATCTTCGCCCGTCTCCCCGTCCTCGGCCTTATCGGCACTCCATCGTGAGCTGTCGCCATCAAAAGTAGCTAGGCTCGGCCTGCCACCGAGATTCTCTCCACCTTTAACTGGAGCTGCCGCCGTTGAGGAGGAGCGGCGCAGAGAAGAAGAGCAGTACAAGATACAGGTTTCTGGTGCCAGCGATAATACTGCCTTCAAAGCTCAATCCGCATTGATGTCTGCCAGCGCTCTCGCCATGAGCCGACCTCAGGAAGCTCCTCAGGATGTGCCCCAAGATATTCCACAGGACATTTCTCGGGAATCCCGCCAGGAACCACCTCAAGCTGCTCAGGTAGAAGATGTGCAGCCTGCGCCTCCTCCCGTCTCCATACCGCTCCCCGACGCCCAAAATTCAGAACCAAAGCCCGATGACATCAGTCCTCAGAGCGCGACTAGCTTGGGTAGCTTAGGGGGTGGGCCTGGCGCGCAAGTGACGACCAGCCCTGGACCTATGGAGCTTGATGGGCATACTGATCATTCCGGTTTTGGAACACAGCCGCCAGCTCCTATAGAAGAGAAGGGAGTCACTTCGCTGTCGTACCCTGGTGTTCTTGCTCCGACCAACATGCCAGCTCCTCCGATCCGGGGCATGAGCATGCCGATGACACCGAATCAACAGGGCGGACCACGCTCGCCGAATTCGAAAAAGCATAAGTGTCCATACTGCGAGACCGAGTTTACGCGCCACCACAATCTGAAGAGTCATCTCCTGACTCATAGCCAGGAGAAGCCATATGTTTGTCAAACATGCTCCATGCGTTTCCGTCGCTTGCATGATCTTAAGCGTCACACTAAGCTACACACCGGGGAGAAACCCCACGTGTGTCCCAAGTGTGACCGCAAGTTTGCGCGCGGCGATGCTTTGGCACGGCATAGCAAAGGTCCCGGCGGTTGTGTGGGTCGTCGGAGTAGCTTAGGAAGCTTTCTCGGCGAGGAAGAGGTGGATGGTTCAAGCCACATTGAGGGCGATGATTCCGCGATGACTGGTGTCGTGTATGATGGTTCCAACGAAGGTGAGTTGACGGAGGAAGAGAGACGGCGCCTTAGTTTACCCAGCATTAAAGCTCAGCATGTTCAAGGTAACCAAACACTACTCGAACTCTACGTTTCACCTTTTTTAACACCTCAACCTTCAGGGTCTGCTACGGGTCGACTCTATCCACCCAATGTGGATCGTGGTTCCGGAAGTTCGAACGCGTCCCAGACTCCCGGCACCAGCATCTCATCTCTCCCTGTGGGCGCTAGCAACCCAGCTATGTACGCTCAAAGCGCCATGACCGAGAGTCCTAAACCCTTAAGTCCCTCTGGCGGGCAAGGCCATGACTCTGCAAATATTAATAGACAGCGCTCGCCGAGCTTGACGGCGCAGTTCCAGCAACAGCACTTTAACCGTCATCAGTCGGATCGGCACACACCTCCAGGTTTGTACAGCCCAGAGTCTCCTAATGCGCACTTTCATACTGAGAATGTCGAAGTGCCTGGATTTGCCGCGGTCGACGCTGCTAGATATGCCGCCTCCGCGGGAGCTATACAGAGCTCCGCTCCTGCTACTCAATCGGCGCCTGGAAGCTCGGGCCAGCAAATAGTCGCTGGTCCTGGGATCGGTCATTCCCACGCGTCTAATGGTCCTAGTCAGAATGGCGGCAGCGGTGATAGCACTAGCAATAATATATTTGCGACTGATCAAGGCATATGGGCTTACATCCATGGTCTCGAGGAGCAAGTCAGGCAACTGAATGAACGTGTCCAAGCCATGGAAGCAACAGGGAGATCTCAAGAGGAAAAGATTACGTATCTGACGAACGAAATGACGGCTCTTCGAAGCGAAGTCGAGATAAAGACAGATGTGACCGAAAAGGTCAGCTGAACTGATGATTTTAGTTGAAGACCATGGCATTATGAAGTGAGAGACAGCCGAGCGAAGAATGTGTTGTGTAGGCATGGTGCATATGATGGATCTAGGGGCTATGCATCTGATTCTCTGCGGTTGCTGCCTTTCCCGTTACGGCGGACGTAGGCTTGTTGTTTTAAGGGAGGCGTTTATGGAGTTTTCAAGTTGCCTACGAAAAGCAATGTTTCTTTTTTTAGTCTTTTAACGACTTACTCGAGGTCTTTCGCTATTAGTTTTGGTGATATCCCTATGGGTTATTTCGGACTCGGACTCGGAATCGGGTGGAATTGTAGCAAAAATCATTCTACACCGTCCACTTCCATGTCTATGTATTATATACTAGTGCAGATAGAAGCCTCGAGGCAGGGCAAAAAAGGCAAAGCCATCGCTATATTAATGAATACTATCAACAAGTCATCCGCTTAATTATCTGCACTTTCGCTTGGCTTTTTTACGGTCTGATCTTGCTTGTTGCTTGTCCGGTACGTATGGTGTGAATGGACTTTGTTATTTTATTTAAGCTGTCTATAAAACAAAACCCTTCTTTGCTTATAGTATGCCTGGTGTAATAATTGTAATAGTGAGAGGATACTAACCATTGCTCTCCAGCTGTGATTGGAAGTCGTTATTCCAGGGGTCATTTAGGTACATACTAGCCTAACCTAGGGAGAACCTTTATCTGGTAGGTGGAGCTTGCAGGAGCTTGAGCTTAAGCCACGCACGGCCACAACCCCACCTGATAGGTAGTCCGCCTAATACCTGGCTCGTGCGCACACGACTTGGGGCCACAACCCTCACACAAAAATTTCCTGCAATCACTCGGGGCTAGTGCAGGCAAACCTAAGCGAAGCCTTCTACCAAATTATCCACCTCTAGTCTAGAAACTCAACAACCCTCCCCATCTCAATCTTGAACAATTTCGCTCTTCGACAGCGACAACCCACATCCGATCAGCGAAACTTCTTGAGCATCACCCAACCGCAATCATGGCTGACGACCCGGACTACGTACGTCATTTAATCCCGCCGTTGATTACTGCTCCTACTATGGAGAGAATATCCGATTGAGGAATATGCGACTGACTTTGGATGCGCAGAACGCTGAGGAAGCCGCCGAGCTCAAGAAGAGAAGACAGTTCCGCAAGTTTTCCTACCGAGGAATTGACCTTGACGCGTATGTTGTTTCTCCTACAATCGAATCCTACATAGACGCGATTGTCTGGTCGAAAATTCCGCCTAGATTGGTTTTTTAAGTGGTAGTGGGATGGGATCCGAATTGAATATTTTAAGGCTAACATGATTTCTACGACAATAGTCTCCTCGACCTCAGCTCCGAGCAACTTCGCGATGTCGTCCACGCCCGAGCCCGCCGCCGGATCAACCGAGGTCTCAAGCGAAAGCCCATGGGCCTGATCAAGAAGCTGCGCAAGGCTAAGCAGGAGGCTAAGCCCAACGAGAAGCCTGACCTCGTCAAGACGCATCTGCGAAACATGATCGTCGTCCCCGAGATGATCGGTAGCGTCATCGGCATCTACTCGGGCAAGGAGTTCAACCAGGTCGAAATCCGACCTGAGATGGTTGGCCACTACCTGGGCGAATTCTCCATCTCATAGTACGTCCAGGACACGTGCTGAAGGATACGTAGCATATTTGCAGATGGCTAACAATTTCTACAGCAAGCCCGTCAAGCACGGTAGACCCGGTATCGGTGCTACCCACTCTTCTCGATTCATCCCTCTCAAGTAGTCAGTCTGTGGAAAGTTGTAGGGTTCTTGCACTTGCATTCATGGATTGGGCGAACGGAACGGTTCTTTCTCGGTAGATAGGCAAATGACCATCAACCGAATGCGCTACACGATAATGATATGAGATCAGTCTGCGCTAAGCACATTACTACGCGGATTTCTTCGATGACGTGACTGCTTCGTGCCTCGTATTTCTCGCGTACTTATCTGACAATACCATGACGTCTGCGTGATTAAGCTACGGAAGTCTTAGTGTCCAGCCTAATAAGGTACATTGTGTTGTCTACTGCTGATGTGCTAACCTGGACTGGATGATTATTAATTCCTATACAAAGGGGGGCTTGGGTAAATCCCGTCAGAATCAATCAAATTCAATCGGTAAGCGACAAAATAAAGAGGCTATTGCTTATCTAGCCGTCCGTCTGAGTGTTTGTCGGAGCCCGTCTAGGTCACCTAACCTAACCTAAGGTATGTCATGTCTATGTACATTTGCCGCGCAGAGATATATGATGTAAATATATACCTGTGTATGCGCCCGTTACGAAGTCTCCTGCTTTTGCTCCTGCTCCTGCGCCTTGGCCTTGGCCAGCAGGGCCTTGACTTTGCGCTCCTCCTCGGCGGCAGCTTGCCTGTGGTAGTGCGCGGTGACGTGGTCTAGGTTCGGGTAGTGGCCTGCTGGGACGTTGTAGGGGGAGCCGGAGTAGAGGAGTCTGGGTGGGGGAAGATGGGTATGTTAGCGATGAATCTCCTTATATATATATAAACTTTGTGTATTTTTCTTGTATTTATTTATTCATCCTCCCCTCTGCGGGTTTCTGCCAAATAATACCGTAACAGGGATGGGAAGGGGAGGGAAGGAAGGAAAGCGATAAAGGGACGTACTCGGGCGTCTTGAGCTCGACGTGCGTGCTCTTGCCCGCGTTCATGAACAGGTGCTTGTCGTGGGCGGCCTGCTCGATGATGTTGGTGCGCAGGGTGTTGCGCAGCTCCCAGTCGTTGAAGTAGGCGAAGCTCCGCAGCCACTGGGAGAGGATGGGCTCCTCGCCGTCGGGGCCCGGCTGTGAGATCGAGTAGCCGGCGTAGCCCGCGGGGATAGCGGCGGCGAAGAGGTAGAATGCCGTCTGCGGTTGAGTTAATATTATATTATATGGTTTCCCTGTGACGTGGGAATACGCACTCCTAATCCCTCTGCGACCTCGGGCGCGGCGTGGTGGTGATGGCTATCGTGACCGGAGGCGTAGGACCGTGAGGCTCGCGGTGCGGTGGTGGTGTTGGTGGAGGTAAGCCGCGCGTGCCTGGCTGCGCAAGCTGCTCTGGTCCGGAGAGCCTGCATCTCGGGTGATGTGGTGAAATGTGGGATATGCCCAATTGGCTTCGGAGAATGATGTCGTCAAGCTGTGATATCGAGCTTCTAGATGTGTAGGTATTCCGTTAAAGATGCTGGAATTGAGAGATAATGGTGGGGGGCAGGTTGGCCAATCAGGGGGTGTGGAATGGGTAAGCTTTAATGTGTTAATATTATAGTTTTACTGTATCACGTACTGTACGGTATACGGTATTACCTAACCTAGTAGATTTAGTATCGAGGTACCTTGGTATAAGTCTCTTATTTAACCCAACTATGTGTATTTCTATAGTTATTGCTAACTTGGAGAAGTTATTTTGAATTGGTTATAATGGGAATAATATTAAAATCCACTCATGTTTCTATATAATTCTTCATGTTACCATCCCTCTTGTCTTAGCCTGTGAGGCTTGGACAAACTTGTCGTCGTGTCCAGTTTGGCTATTTGCAAGCTGTCCTGAATAAGACGTTGCCACATAACTCAACTTACAAAAGCTCACTTACAAAAAAAGACTTATATACATATCTCAACACTAGCAAAGTAGCCTTACCTCATTATACTCGTTATAGACCTTTATATGTCACTACTCTCACCTGACATCACACAATGGGGCACTCATATACACATATCATGAAGAGGCTTGCTATCGCAACCTTGGTTACCTCATCCGCTCTCTCCTTCACACATGCATCATCTCCCCCATCCGAATCCCCCCCCGCAGAAACAGAACTCATATGCCACACCGGCAACCCCGCTGAATGCTATCCAAAAGTCTTCTCCGCCACAGAGGACTTCCAACCCGTCCACGACGACCAGGATCTTCCGCCCGGCCTACACGTCCAGCTCGACATCCAGACCGGCCAGAAACAAGCCAAGCTGTATAACCCCGCGGAAGAAAACCCTGCTCTGGAAGGCTTACCAGTAGACCGGTCCGTCCTCATCGTCGACCCCGAAACACCCCAGGACGACCAGCCTCAAATCCCCCCCGGCGCCCCGGCCTACGAGCCCGTAGGCTTAGTCAAGGCGCCCAAGGAGAAAAATGAGGGCTTCGCCTTAGCCCTCGAAACGGTGAAGAAGTCCTCAGCGGCCAACAGCAACGCCGTGGCCCCAGACGATCTCGACAAAGCCCTAGAGGACCTAGAAGACCTATCCCACGGCATGTACTACGGCCTGCAGATCGCCTCGGACGCCGACGCCCTGCACTCGCTATTCTGCCTACTCACCGCGCGCGACGCCGCGCAGGCCCAGCGGCCCCTATCCCAGCGCACCGATTTCCTCGCCTCCGCCATCCTCGCGTCTTCCCTCCGGAACAACCAGCCCGCGCTGCGCGCCGTGGAGCAGTCCTGGGACTTCCTCCTCGAGAAGCAATGTCTATCCAGCGCCTCCCCCGACTCTCTGCAAGCACACCTGTTCTCCGCCCTGCAGCCTACGGCAACGGCCGGCTCGGCCGAGGAGCCCGCCGAAGCATACGCCGCGCGCCTGAGTCTCGCCGTGCTGGACGGCCTGCTGAAAAGCCCGCCCATCGCCGCACAGTTCCTCGCGCACGGCGGCATGCGGCACTTCCTGCAGATCCTGCAGCGGACCAACCCCGTCTGGGACGCGCGCAAGGCCAAGGTCGCGCGCATCGTGTCTGATGTCTTCCTCGACGAGGAAGTCGGCGCCGTGCTAAGCGTGTGGCCGACGAGCGCAAGCGTAGCCGAAGCCGGCGTGTGCGGAGCCGGGGGGCCGGATTCTTTGGAAGAAGGGTGTTGGGAGCACCACTTGGAGGTTATTAGCCAAGGTTCGGAAGCCCCGGGTTGGAGCCAGCCGCTCCTCGACTTGCTGAGGCGGAGACGGGCGGAGAAGCCGGCGGCGCAGCGGCATGGGCGGGATGAATTGTAAAAATAAATGATAGATTATCTAAGAGAAAACTTACTGTTTCAATATATGGTAACAACAAGCATACCTAGGTAATGAGGAGGCGTTTAGGAGAACTGCATTCTTGTATTTTATTTGTTTTACTTTACTTTACTTCAGTTTACCCCCTGACGAATACCCTGGCCGCAGCTTTCCGTGTCGAAGCTGCTGCAGCTCACTACATAGAGGACATACACACATATATACATACTACCTAGCAGTGCCAAGTTCCAGCCGAACCAGTGTTTCGTACGCTTATATATGCTTCCCCCTCATTGCACCATGTAGTAGGTATTCATCAGGGCAACGGGTCACGTCTTCAGCCTGCTCATATCGTCCATGACTTCGTCCCATCGCTCCTCAAAGTCGGCGCGCACTCGCTGCGCGTCCTCTATCCTTCCCACGCGGCGTAGGTAGCTTTGCAACGTAGCGAGTAAAGTGACTGTGGCGTTATCGTTGCGCCCGAATTCCGTCTCGCATATCTCTAGGCTACGCGTCATAAGGTCGACGGCCTCCTCGGCGCTTATCTCGTGGCTTGTCGGTAGCGTCCGCAGCATATTGTAGCAACTGAACCGCGCCAGCCGTGGATCCCGTCCCCCACATGTTTCGACTAGTGTACGCGCCGATGCCGCCGCCTCTGTCGGCTTGTTGTGAAGGTTTGTTAGCCATGATAAGTGGTGCCGTAGGAGATCGATATCCTTCCTTATAGCGTCTTGTTCGGGTGAATACACCGACGGCGACGGTGAATTCTCAAGATCTGCGATGAGGTCTTGCATGTACTTCTGCGCCGTATGCATCTCGATGAAGTTGCTATTGAGCATGGCTCGATATATAGTTGCTAGCCATGTCGGCTTGAGACGGCTATCAGCTTGTACAACTTGTAGGAAGCCTTGTATGATTAGGCCGATAAATCTTGTTATTTCAGATGGACTGGCGCCTTTTAATCTCATAAACAATAGGTATAGAGGGTGTCTTGGACCGAAGATGATGCGGGACATGCCGCAGGCGTAGTTTATTAAAGACTCGGCAAGGCCTGGTCCGGATTGTATAAGCGCTCCTAGGGCGAGACACGTCTCGATGAGTAGTGACGGGTCTTGTCGCATCATTACTTCTCTATAGTCCTCGAAGGTTATCCTTATCAGGCGGAAGCCTTGTTTTGTGAACCCGTTGAAAAATAGTTGCCTGGCAGACGACACGGGATCCAACCACGTCCTCGGCCGGCGTGGAAATACTAGTTCCTTGTCGGGAGTAAGCTGCCAGAGAGACCCTTCCAAGGCACCCCCGACGTAGCTCTGCACTATCTGCATGCACTCCTCGGGGAGCCGTAAGCTGTCGGGAGCTTCCACGCGTCTTGGTATTGATGCCGGCTCTGGTTTGGGAGATGGAGTACGGCATATGATCTCCTCTATGCTGCGCTTCTGGGCCTCAGCTGATTCTATCTTACCTGATAAAATCGCCATGAGTTCCTTGCGACTAGTAGGCGAGACTCGTCGGAGGTATGCGTTGAGCCTATCCGCATCGACCTTGCGGCCGTGAACGAAGGATACCGATGGCTTGCCGACGGCGGCGCGACGACCCCGCTGAACTAGAAGCTCGGCCACCTGGTGAGCCCTTAGTTTCTTGTGTAGGCCCCATCTGTTGAAGCGGATCTTGTACATCTTTTCCCTAAGTGCCGGGTTAGACTTATAGGTTGGTGGTTATCTGTGCGATCGGGTCACAGGCAGAAGCTTACGTTGCATAGAAGTCGTATTCCTCCCGCATAATACGCATGACTTCTTTTAAGCTCTTGTTCTGCTCTAGATATAGCATTGTGATGGTGTCTCGATTGTTGTTCCAGTCCCCGTCCTTCGCAGGACCATTATACCGCTGGGATGTGGCCATGACGGTTGTGGCCCGCTGGATATCTCTATATGAGATGGTTATAAAATGTATAAATTCGAATTCGTCTTGCTTGGTTAGGAAACAATACGATAAGCCTTCTTTCCCAAGCTCATACCCAACCTCGTATGTCGTCTAACTATAGATATGTAAAAGATGTATAACCATTATATACTTGTAAGGAAAAGCGCGCAATAGGAAATGTTCCGTTCGAGGTTGCAGAGGATGTCGCGCGTGTTATGTTTTCGAGGTAGACAGAGACAGTGGATCGGACTTGATAGACATAATAGGCATAATCGAAGTCCTGTCATCTCCTGCTTCATTATGTTGCATCGCCTACAACAGGAACGACATGTTCGGGATAGGCGTGTCTCCAATAAGGCTGGCCTTTATATTAGTCAGGGCAGGGCGGCCATGATGATTTGTGAATTAAGAATCCTTGTCGCACCCAGCGGTGCAACTATCAGGGGGTCACCGTCCCGGACTTTGCCCTGGGCATTGACGTTGAATGACACACGCGTTATTCCGTATAGTCGCTCAACAATTGTCGACCTAAAGCATTTTTAGGTAATATCTAACGCGGCATGTTAATAACGCCGTAGATCGACTCTTGTTTCAATCAAACCGATGGTTGTTTGACTTGTTTGAAAGCTTAGTAAATGGTTGAGCCTTGGGGTAGGATGTCGGTCCTAGGGCTGCCAGGGGTTCCTAGGGCTGCCAGGAGGATGAAGGATCATAAGAATTGAACGAATGGGATGCTAGTGCATACATGAGTATCCCCTGTTCGCCAACTCCTATTGGATATAGGTAGCTCACCTAAACCTATTGTATAATAGTTGGACTTTGCTCTAGGTTACATAGTTAGGTGGACTTTTATTAATCTTTGCTAAGGTTTCAACTCTTAGATGCGGAGTTGACTTCTTGGCTCCCACTTTGTACATACATAGTAGAGTAGCGTATAATGTTACCCGCATATGATCCCCTAACTGCGACTTAACTGTGAGCTAGAACAGGCTGCCAGATGTCAGTGTACGTATTCCTACCTTCTTTGGTGCCCGAGTACGCGGAGTTCTTCCCTTATTCTAACGTTCCAAATATTTAAGCTACCTATGCTGCCGAATGCAAGTTACTGTATACTACCCCCGACCGCAATGTAGCAGGTAGTATCAACTCAATGAAGATCCCTCTGGGCGACTTTATATCGAGCTCGGGCCAACGGCTATTGCGACGCTTCTCGAATAGCTGCATAGCGGCCGAGTAATGACGACAAGACTCCAATCGAATCCTTGGTGGGTCATGTGAGAATGGCGTGTGTTTACCTGAACGGCAACGGTCACGAATTTTCAAACATAATAAACAAGAATCCTTCGGCTTTTCTGGAGAATGGAAAAAGGAGACGCGATAGCCATGCGCTACGTTGATGGCTGTAAACTAGGAAAGCTACCTTTCATTGAGCCCTGATGGTACCAGCGGACCTCTAATACCGTTAGCATAAGTATCAAGCTACTTTAACTGTTGATAGTTATACCATTCTTTGATAAAGAACTCCGGGCTACCTCTATATAATGACTGACCTTTCGTAGTATTAGATGGGCTTGTCTATATAACTATAGTCTAGCCTCGGCTGCAGTAAGTTAGGCTGAGCGACGCGTGGAAATCTCTTATAATAGGTTATATCGCTGTCTTGTGGTACTACCAAGTGATTCTAGCGAGGCTGAGATTGATGATATTCAGATGGGATATATATAGGTTCTCTAAGACCGGCGAATTGGTTTGCCAAACTTCAGCTGTGGGTGACCTCATGAGCAGAATTGTCAAATGGACCCCACGTTCCTATAAGGATACCATGTCGTAACTCTTTAAACATAGGTATGATAAAGGGGGAATACTACATACGATACCTTATGTTTTCCGACATACCATCGCACTGTTGGAATATTAACACAGGAGGATGGTAGTATACAGAAGTTGTTGGAGCCTTAATGCGATGAAACCCATAGTCGAATTATATAAACTAGACTATCGGGTTTAGATGGAAAAGAAATGTAAATGGGGCTGTGGGGGAACCGGGCTGTGAATTTGAGTATGGGGGACCTTTGGATTAGATGTGCAGCCTTCAGTAATGCTAAGCTTGCGTATCGAACGGAACGCGCGAAGCCGGTTCTAAATTAATAAATATCGACCGACTCGCATATTGATGCGACTAAATTTGAAGACGGGAATATTGCCAACTTTGGTCAGTAGATGAATTGCAGATATGATTTGTGTTTTGGTCACAAGATAATGGGAAAGCCCGATAGCATTCTCTAACAATGTATCATCGAGCACATGACATATGAGACACCAATCAAGTAGCTAATTGCTGGTGATGGTGTCTCATCAGTGTTGTAAAAGACATTGGAAACAACCGAGAGGCTAGTTAAGAAGGCCCGAGGTTACCTTAAGAGATGTTACTTAAGTGTTAAGTGTACAAACTACTTATTCATTTGCACAGACCACTTAAGCAAACAATTCATAAAGCTGCTGACTGAATACGCATGACCCACTATATGAATTGATTTGATAGGTTCCACAAATGATGCAATGCAATACCTAACTGCAGTCCCAATCGCCAATCCCAGGCCTTTTTCTAAATTCTGCCACTTCAATCTATCTTAGGTGTCTATATGCACAACATGCATCTCCATTCCGACACCAACACAAAAAATGCTTTTCCGCATCTATGTTTACCGCCTACATAGGTACCTACCTAGGTACGCATGCAGTGCACCGTAGCCTACACCATAGCGTAACATTTAGAGGAACGGGAAGTGTGGAACCCGGTAGGGTTGCAGCCGCGATGCGAATACATTACCGCCCAACCGTTGTCTAGCCGTCTCTTGGCTTGGAGATGCTTGACCAATGGGGGCTATGCTGTCCTACAACTCGGCGGCTACATCTAACGCTCATCTGCTTCAACCCCAAATTCCACCATCCAGAAGCTTCATATGGCCTCCCATCAGTAGCCGCGAAGGCGTCTTTAAGCCCCCAGACCACACACTAACCTTGCGTTGGCTTGACGTCGTATAACGGGGCTACCGACAGCTTGACCACTCATATATCGAATTTTCTTGTCCGAGCTATTAAATCGGGTAGGTTGATCGTTGGTTAATTCGAGTTTCCCGTCAAATGTATTGTAGTCATATTGTTTGCACTGATGCGTAGGTTGTAGGCGATGTGACACGTCCTTTGCCAGTCATTGTTCTGATCCATTTAACATTGGCCCTCGCC